TATACAACCACCTTAGTGTTACCAAACCAAAAATTTCGTTATCCGGTCCAAACAAAAATACACTTCAAATCCGGATGCGGCATTAACGTACGTACATACGTACATTCCAATTTGACATACGTATTAGGAAATTGTGTTAATAGTGATAACAATATTAACGTTAATAATTGAATATTTAATACGTATATAGATGCCGCCAAGGGAAAAACCCTTACTTGGTCTATCTTATTTTTTAGAAGAATGGTGTCCGGTAAATTATAAATTTAAAAGCTCTGTGGTTTTCTATTTCTACGGCACCCACATATTAAATACGTACATAGCAACAAATTTAATGATGAGTGTAACTATAAAAAGAAAAAACCAGGCTAGCGATGCATCCGGTATTACTATTTTCTTCATTCAAAAAACTTACTTGTTCTTTTACATGTGTGCTGTCAAGGGAAAAGGATACTTCGAACGTTTAAATATATTATTGATTATTTATCTGATCAGCTCTTCTGATCGATGCACATTGGGACTTCAATTATATAACAAACCTCTGGTACACCATATAATAATTAATTTAAAGCGCGATGTGTCATCGATCAGAAGGGCTAAATATACTTAAAAATCAGAAGTATCCTATTAAATTTGAGGCTAAGTTTTCATCCCTTGGAGGCAACAGTTTTGTAGATAATGCACTTTCATAGTTTTTAAACGTTGTACGATGCACTATTACCATGTTAACATCTGAATTAGTTCAGGATTCTGCTGTTCTAACAGACAAATTCTGCACAATTAACGTTAAATTTTACAAATTCTGCAATGATATGTAAATGATTACTATAAAATTACGAAATTGGGAAAAATAAATGAAATTTCAACCTTATCACAATGGCCTACATCCGCTAGCAGAATTTTGCACGGTTTCAGTTCAATCAGATTTTCTGAACAGGCAGAACTGCGCCAAAATCAAAATTCGGCGCATCTTTGGGCACTTCAATCTGAATTTCTGCTAGTATTATTGTATCATTGGTGCATGCCTTCTATGTTTTTTTTTTTTGTTTGATCTTATTTATTAGTCAATGAACTTGAGTAACATAACAAACATCTTTATTTTCTTTATTTTATATAAATAAATGAGCTTCGTATATCTTTTAATGATTTCTCATATTTCTAAAATCATGGATAAAATTTCTTTCTCAGCTTACCTGGCGTTGATATTTACATTTCTCCTTTTTTTCATTCTTTTATCTTTCACTCCACCAAAAACAAAAACTCATTTCGGTTTACTTCTTTTAATAACATTCATATTCCTGATCCTACCGCTAAACTATGGTTGGCATTTTCCATGTATGATTCAAGGATTATTCCCAACTATTGGTTGTGCGTATACATTTAAAATGTTAGCCTGGTTAAAAAAATGTTTAAACAAAGAACAACATGATTCATTTTATAAATCATTATTTTATTGGAGGAAACCAAATAAAAAATCTTTTATCAAAAATGAATCACACAACAACGTTCATCCCATCACCTTCCCTACAAAATTTAAAATTTTTTTTCAAAATAATAACTCTGAGTATTATGATCACACAACAAAAACTTTAAAACGAGAACAAATGATTCCATACCTATTTTATAGATTACAAAAACTTATATTAATATGCGGAATTCAGGAAGTGGTTGTAACATTTCTTGAGATCTATATACCTACTGTGCCTTCTCAATCTTATCCTTTGAGAATATTCAATTATCTTGTAAATAACAATTCATCTAAACCATTCATTTCTTATTTTTATGTTTTTTACTCTTATATATATGCTGGGTTTCTCTACATCAATATGAGTTGGTTATATGAGATGGTTTTACTTTGTTGTGCCCTGTTATTCTGTGGAATCTTACTTTACGATGATATGAATAAGGGCAAAAATGTTGAAATTAAAAATAATAATAAATTCAACAAAGGTCTAATGG